GCTGTTTACAAGAAAAAGAAGAAAGAAGAGAAGGTAAAGACATTGTTGTGGTTACTGTAATGACTACAGTATACTGGTACTGTTGTAGATATCCTGTGGTATAGCACTGTGCTTTATATTTCATTTACATGTACATTAATTGTGTTAGTGCATTACATTGTACAGTTTATTATTAATTTTGGTGATTTACGATAGAATTGACTCAAATTTTCAATACATAAGGTGAAAGCCTTATACAATATTAAGAAAACTTATCATAAAGCATTTATAGTGAACCCAAACTTAGATATTGTAATAAAGATAACGAAAGAGTTAATATTATTATTATTGCTGTAACTGCGTCATCAAACCCTAAACCCTTCTTCCTCCCTCCCCCCTCTCTCTCTCCCTCACCCCCTCTCTCTCTTCTCTATTCATGTAGGTTCCATTAGCCTGGGTGAATCAACCTTTATTTGATTACAGGTGTCAGTTTTGTAATGGAGTCAGCAAGACACTACCTTGCTGGCCTGTTAGTCCTGAAGAACCACTGGAGGACCTCCTCAATCCTATCGGTAATACATGTATTTTAATTTATGTTGATTAATTTTAATTAATTAATTTTAGTTAATTAATTTAAGGTTTTTTGGTAATTTTGCCATAATAAGAGATATTGGTTTATTTTTACAACTACTACACATTAGGTTATATTAGGTTAAATGAGGTTGTACATGTACATGTAGTGAATAAACATGCTGTAAATGTAATTCTCTCCACTTCAGTTGCTATTGATTATGAAGGTTACTAGTTCTACATGTTGTGTGTATTATGACTCGATGCCTACAATTAAAAAACATGCATAGGTTGCAGTAGACTGTTTTTGCTATTTTTGTTTAGCTTCAAATGTTTGCATTACTTTCATTTTACCCAAAAACATGTACTGTACACCCACTGTAGTACATGTACGGTAAATTGATTGAGCCCTTTTAGCTACAAGTGACAGGATAATATTTATTTATTTTATTAATTTATCACATCATGAAACTAACTGATAACTCCTCTGTTTTGATTGCAAAGCGTACACACATGTAATACAAACACTTTAAAAATTATGAACCACGTACATACCAGACATGGGGCAAGCACTTAAGCATTTGTGCTTATAAGCACTTTAAGCACTTTTTTGTAAATGCTTGAAGGTGTTTCCAAGCATTAATCATATTGCAAGCACTTGTGCTTGACTTGTACTTAAGCTCTTTTTAATGTAAATGCTTTAAAGCACTTTTGAAGCACTTTTAAAGCACTAATGCATGTCTGTTTTATCAGTTATCACTAATATAGCTGTCATGCATGTGTATGACATCTATCATAACACACGCATGAGACCTGCTGTCAGTTTAACCTTTAAAGATGGCCACAACCACGAAGAAGCTACCAGATTTTATTACTTCAATCTTTTTGAAGATTTTAGTGGTGCTTTCAGAGCCTAAGTGCCACAAGTATTGCCATAACTTATAGATTGAGTGCTTTACCTGTGCTTTAAGCACTTTTAACAGTGCTTTAGGTACTGCTTGAAGCATGTTTTTAATTACAGCATTAGTGCTTGTGCTTGTGCTTAAGCATTTTCACAAGTGCTTTAGATGTGCTTGAAGCACATTGCTATATTGAAGTATTTGTGCTTGGCTTGTGCTTTAGCAATTTCCCCAGTGCTTTATGATGTGCTTCAAGCATTTTAGAAAGTGCTTGCCCCATGTCTGGTACATACATGTACATGCGCATGTGCATGTATATGTACATCATGTACTTTTGTCGGAAGTTTATGTACATGTACATGTACATGTAGTCTCAATAATTTATTATTATGATTATGATTATTATTAATAATATTCTTATTCCAGGTACTGTTGTCACTAATCCTAATGCAGCTGATGCTCCATCAATCAGTGTTCAGTTCAAGGAGTACAGTCAGCAGCCGATCATATACCCCAGCATGGAGAAGGTACTGGAGCTAGCCTCTAAAGAAATGACTAATGTGAGTTATAATGTGTAGGTTTTAAAAGGGACTACATGTACGTGTATATACATGTACATGTACAAATGTTGCCAAAAATTAAAATGAGAGAATTATCCACTTTAATGATTTTTCCTGATGCATATACATTGTACATGTTCTTGTGCTGTGTAGAAATTTTAAGCTGATTTTTATGGTAACTAGATTTTTCATAAATTTTTAATTTGCTCCAAAATTGGGCCAAGTGTCTCAAGTCGAATTTTTCCAAAAATGAAAAAGAGGGAATTCTCCATTTTTACTATTTCCTGATGCATATACATGTTCTTTTGCTGTGTAAAAAAGTTTGAACTTATTCCGATCAAAACTGAGTTTTTTTATAATTTTTTAAGTTCTTTCAAAATCAGGCCAAAGTCCCTGTACTATAGCACAGTGATTTTTAAATTTTGCCAAAATTGAAAAGGAGACAATTCTTCATTTTTTAATTTTTCCTAATGCATATACATGTTCTTATGTTGTGTAGAAAGTTTAAGCTAATTTTGATGGAAACTAGATTTTTTATGAATTTTCAAAATTGCTCCAAAATTAGGTCGAAGTTACTGTACTACAGTACACGGTCCAAAGCCAAATTTTTGCCAAAAATGAAAATGAGGGAATTCTCCATTTTTATAATTTTTTCTGATGCATATACGTGTTCTTATGCTGTGTAGACAGTTTGAGTTAATTCCGATCAAAATTAATTTTTTTATGATTTTTAACGACCTGGGGGCATAGCCCCCAGGTCGTTCCTATAATTGAATTCACCCACATGCGATGTTTGTATATATATATATATATATACCGTAATTTGCCTTTTTTTTCGTACAAAAATTTTTCGTTTCAGAAAAATTCAAGTGGAAATATTTTCGTCTTCTCATAGTGTACGAAAATTTTTACAGTCTGAAAATTTACATGTAGCTCCTCTTGCATATACATGTACCTTGTCCTTTACCTGCTGGTAACAAGGCCGCTATAATAGTGTTTATAATTCTTTGAGATAAGAGATTCTTGACCTGGCTGTTCCCCGACATTACTAGTATACGGATAGTACTGGAGATGCAACAATGACCAATTTACGGATAATAAACGGAAACATTAAATGGCTACTTTTATCACATGGTGGACCGTTTTATTTTATAACTCAGTAATGAAGCAACTGATTGAAGTACAGCAAGCACCAGTGGATAGAGCAAGGTTAGAGCTGCAAGAAGATACCTACTTATCAGGCCGTACCTTAGTCTTTCTTTGATGAATTAGGTCACAAATTTTGGTTGCTCAAAAATTTTCGATTGAAATATTTTCGTCATTTTAGGACCATACGAAAATATTTCCACAACGAAAAAAAGGCAAATTACGGTATATATATATTTGTATGTCCACACTTACATTTCTTCTATACATGTTGTATTGGAGAAATAACAAGCCTTAGCAACCACCTGCCCACGCCCCTTTACGTGAGTGGGTGTGGTCACGGCAAACAAAATGGCGGCTTACACATGGGACAAAGTTAAGAGCTTTCTAACAGCAAGAGAGCATACAGATACTGTCTAAAGACTTTTCTAGAAGCATTATAAGGTAGAGAGAACCTCTATAACTCTTAATAGTGACCAAGTTGTACTTGCAAGGTGGTGAAATCAATTATAGGAATATTTTTTACCCTGTTATGCTTGTTTAAGTTCTTCTGAAATCAGGCCAAAGTCCCTGTACTATAGCACAGTGATTTTGTCCAAATTTTGCCAAAATTGAAAAAGAGACAATCCTCCATTTTTAAAATTTTCCTAATGCATATACATGTTCTTATATTGTGTAGAAAGTTTGAGCTAATTTTGATTGAAAATAGGTTTTTTATGAATTTTCAAAGTTGTTCCAAAATTAGGTCGAAGTCCCTGTACTACAGTACTTACACAGTCTCAAGCCGAATTTTGCCTAAAATGAAAATGAGTGAATTCTCCATTTTTATAATTTTTCTGATGCATATACGTGTTCTTATGCTGTATAGAAAGTTTGAGTTCATTCCAATCAAAATTAAATTTTTTATAATTTTTTTAAGTTCTTCCGAAATCAGGCCAAAGTCCCTGTACTATAGCACAGTGATTTTGTCCAAATTTTGCCAAAATTGAAGAAGAGACAATTCTTCATTTTTAAATTTTTTCCTAATGCATATACATGTTCTGATATTGTGTAGAAAGTTTGAGCTAATTTTGATTGAAACTAGATTTTTTATGAATTTTCAAAGTTGCTCCAAAATTAGGTCGAAGTCCCTGTACTGTAGCATAGGGATTTTGTCCAAATTTTGCCAAAAATGAAAAGAAGAGAATTATCCATTTTTACAATTATTTCTGATGCATATATACATGTACATACATGTTCTTATGTTGTGTAGAAAGTTTGAGCTCATTCCAATGAAAAATGAATTTTTTATAATTTTTTAGGCTGCTCCAAAATCGGGCCAAAGTCCCTATACTAATGTAATAGCACAGTGATTTTTGCAAATTTTGCCAGAAAAATGAAAAGGAGACAATTCTCCATTTTTATAATTATTTCTTATGCATATACATGTTCTTATGTTGTGTAGAAAGTTCAAATGGATTCCAATCAACATTAATTTTTCATGAATTTTCTGAAGTTGCTCCAAAATCAGACCAAAGTGCCTGTACTATAGTACAGGCATTTTTTTTTTATTTTATGTTCTAGTACAGGCATTTTATCCAAATTTTCACCAGAGAAAATTATAATTTTTATTTTTTTCTGATGCTTATACATGTACATGTACATGTTCTTATGCTGTGTAGAAAATTTGATCTGATCCTGATCAAAAAGTTTTTTTTTTAAGTTACTCCAAACTGTAGTACATGTACATGGTCTTTGGCCAAATTTCCTCAAAAATGACTAAAAGAGAAATCTCCATTTTCACAGTTTTTCTTGATACATAATACATGTTATTATGCTGCGTAGAAAGTTTAAATTGATTCCGATCTAAACTGGAATTTTTTATAAATTTATAAAATCAGGCCAATGACCCTGCTGCCTTTTGCAAAATTTCATCAAAAATGGCTATGAGAGAATCCTTCATTTTTATGATTTTTCCGATACATGTACAGTGTACATGTAAATAATGTACACGTATGTGTACATGTACACTATACATCTACTTACATGTATGTCATGTAGAAATTTTGAACTGATTTTGATGAAAAGTAAATTTGTTTATGAATTTTTTAAAGTGTCTCAAAAATTAGGCCAATGACCATGTACATGTACATGTACATGCATTTAGTAAACGTACATGTAGTTCTCTTATATCTACATGTACTGTATAGAGGGTATATTTTCCAGGGAAAATATTTCACGAAAATCACCTTTAAACCTATTCACTAGGAAAAATTTTTGCTTTTTCCTTCTACTGACCATTATTAGTATGGTAAAAAATAATTTTCATAGAAAGAAATTTTCACAAATTATTTTAAAACCGTGAAATTAGCGAAATTAAATCCCCATGAAATATACCCCCTATACGGTATTTTAATTTTAAAATATTATTTTAAATTTTTTAAAATATTCCCTTTCACAGTACAAGGAAGAGAGAGTGGCCAAGACCTATGAGCAGGAGCTGAATGATATAGTGGAGAGAGACCCACTGGCCCCACTCTATGAACAGGACAAGACATTAATATGGAGGTTCAGGATGTACCTACTGGAGAACCTTCCCTCATCTCTACCTAAACTACTGAACTCTGTTAAATGGTATCAGCATAGAGACGTTGCTGTGGTAAGTATACTTACAATATACATGTACATGCAGTGTTTAGATCTAGAGGAGTTTAAGAGAATTTTAGTCCCCCATATTTGGTCTTGGTCTCCCATTTTTTGTCTCTTATCTTCTCCTGTTTTAGTCAGTTGATCTCTCAGAATTTTTCAATTTTTTACATGTACATGTGTTGTAGTACACTGGGTGCACTTCCCAAGGATTTTTATTGTACATTTGTGTATGTACATTATGTATTAGAAGGGATCAATCATGAAAATTGTCAGCATGAATAATTATCGTAACTACTCATCTCTCCTTTTATAAAAATTCAAGCATTGTTTCTTGCTTCTTTCACAACAATTTAATGATGCCCCTTAAAATTTTAAATATAGATCTGTATTTTGTGCTCGCAAATTTTACTGTATTGATACTCAAGGATAATTTTTATTCATTTAAAATTTTAAATGCAATATGACCAGAATGCATCAAGAATGGTCAGTGTATGTACAAGTCCATTTAATTCAATTATTCAAACAAATTGAGTGTCACCAGACAACCACATAGCATGTATAATCAGACAGACACAAATTAACACTTGTACATGTACACAAAAAGGAATGTAAATGTACAATATGTAGAGTATGATGTCATTTTTACCATCGTTATTAGTATTATTACAACTGCAATTAATTTCTTGAATACAGTAATAGCATTTTGATGCAATTGTTCATGTGGCCATTAGGTGTGTACGGGAAATGATGTTGTGCTGTGACTGCTGTCATACATGTACTGTGCTGTACATGACATGTACGTGTACAATGTACATGTGTAGGTAGCATTTTTGAACCATGTTTTAAGTTTGATAGAATAGGAAATAGTTGTTGACCAAGTTAATTTGAACTTTTTGGCTCAACAAAGACGTGTTATTACAATTTAAAATATTAATGTAAAGTAATGAAATACAAAAAGAAAAATACTATAAAAATTATAATTTTTCACAAGAGTAACTAAATGTACATGTACATGTATGAATAGTGTATAGATCAGCAACCAGTAACTAGTGAGGAAATATCAGCTACGATATCACAAAAGAGTTCATCCCAGAGTAGTAGACTAGACAGAGATGAACGGAGCTGAGGGAAACACTTCCGAGTCGTCGGAATTTGATTCGATTCAGGAATCAAATTGATTTTTAAAATGCAATTGTAGACACAAATGATTTTTGTTACTGGAATACAATTCACACAATAAGGAAACTTACTTGCGTTTGCAATTGAATTTTGAAAATGAATTTGATTCCCGACTGGAATCAAATTCCGATGACTCGGAAGTGTTTCCCCTGGTACCTGTACCTTTGATCTCAATCTAGTACAGCCAAGAATTATCATGCTGATACAGTAGTACTGCCCAAAATCAATGAATCAGGCCTGATTACTTAATTGATACAGTCCTGATAGCCTATCAGTCCTGATATCCTGATATAGTCCTGATATCCTGATGCAGCCTTAGTCCTCCAGCTACTGTTTACTGGGTCTAGTACACAATAGAGTCGGCTCCATTGAGTTTTGGTGTCCCTGTAACTATAGTTTTGTCAGAGCATTTGATAGATGTGTGCATAGCATAACCAAAAGGGTTGCCACCTTCCTCTTGAATAGGCTGACAGTAGGAGATGTTCTTGGACTTGTTGCCACCCAATGGCTTGAGGTAAACAACAACACAAATGGCAGTACTGCTGGCTATTGCTGTAGCAAGGATAATCAAAGCTTTCATATTCTATGGAAAGGAATGATTTTGGAAAATTATTACAAAATCACTTACCAACAATGGCTGGAAAGGAGAAACACCAGACAGACTACTGTACTTGGGTTGTTGAGTAAGTGAGTATATGAACACTCACGTAGTCTGACGGCTGCTACACCATACATGTACGTGTATATATACTTACTATTAGCCGTCTCTCTCTGCTTGGTCATTGAATAATTCAAGTCAGTACAAACAACAATTAGGATCATGTTACTATGGTACTATAAATAGTAGCTTACACTGTTACTAAAAATAGACCTACAGCTGTACATGTACATCTAGATCAATGTTTTACTGGTAAAAAAATTATTGAACTTTTTAAGGATTTGGGTATTGATCTAAAATTTAAGAAAGTCTAACACTTTTAGAAGCTTGATCATCATACCAACAGTACATTTTTGCCTATAGTTTCAGAATTTTTGGTCAGCACATCTACACGTACATGTACATGTATAATATGCCAGTTCTGTATCTATAATAAGTTCCCATACCGGGAGGGCAAAGAATTTGCCAATGCATCTAATACTAATTTGCAATAATTTAGCCTATATGTACATGTACATGTTATGGCAGTAGGTGAGATTTGTGTGTACATGTACATGTACATGTAGATTGTGTTCAGAAGGTTTAATTGTAGAATACCGTATAGCGGAAAATTTTCGTGGCCCAAAAAGTTCGCGGATTGGTTCAAAAATCAATTTTGTGACTTTAATTTTCATGGTTTTCTACTTTTCAGCCATATTGAACCGTATTAAATCAATTTCACTGATTTTATTTTCGTGGATTTTGAAAAAACGCAAAATCCACGAAAATTTTGGGCCACAAAAATTTTTCTCTATATAGTATTAACCAGTGTTCATGTGCATGTATTTCAGTGAACTAGAAACACACTGAGTCGTATGAAGTGGGAAGTGTCTAGTCTCTGAACAATGTGTTTTCATTGTATGTTCATATTATGGCAATAAAAACAAAAGTTGCCAAGAGAGAAATTTTATTTTATAATTTTTATGATGCATACATGTATGCATGTCCTTATGTTGAATATCAACTTTGAAATAATCATTATTATCAAATTTTGATTTCTAAAATAAATTTTTTTAAGTTAATCAAAAGGTGGGCCAAATTTAGAAAAATTATCAAATTTAGATCTTTATACATTTTTTAAGTTACTCAAGAATAGGGCCAAATTTTTTTAAATGGCTAGAAGAGAATTTTTAATTTTAATAATTTTTTTACATTTACATGTAGAAAATGTACTTAAGGTGCATTTCAACTTTGAGCTAATTTCGATTAAATTTGGATTTTTTATTAATTTTTGAAGTTGCTCCAAATGCAACAACTATATACCTACATGTCCATGTGCGTGTACATACACATGTATTCATCTACTCTTGCTGTATTGTAGTGGCTCATGAATCAAGCTGTTTAGTTCACTTAGCATAATTATGCTTTATGGGAGAACCCTGACACTAATCACCTAATTTTCCATCCCTGTGATACACGTGTATATTGTATCCCATTATTGTATAGCTGTTGTGTGTCTGTTGTACATTACATGATGCAAACTTCAACAACCTTAAAATAATCCTTTGAAATATCCTTTGAGTAATCCTTACACTTACACTTATACTGTATTGTATAGTATTTCATTCCTTTGTCTGTTTGTCAGAAATTTACAGCATAGTGTACATGTATATACTGTACCATATACGCCATATATTTTCCAGGGAGTAAATTTCGCAATTTTTGCATTTTGGAAAAATTCGGGAAATTAAAATCCACAAAATAGCGTGTTGATTGTATAGTAGATGTGGTAATTCGCGAATACAAAAATGCAGCCAAATCACGAAATTTTATACCCATTAAATATATGGTGTATATATGGTATGTTGTGTCATGAATTTTCATTAATTATTGCTACATCATGTACATGTATACCATTTCCACACTATAACACATGTCTTACGTGTAATTGTTTTCAGTTATCAATGTACATTTATTATAGAAACAGACAGAGTTGTATGAAATAGGAAGTACGTGTATCTAGTTTCTGAACAATGTGTTGTGTGTGCCTAACATTGCTGACAATGATTGCAGTGATGAGGGAAAGTACAATATTCTCTAATAGCTACTCACATACATTACATGTACATGTATGTACAAATGTATATGCATATCATTTTTCTCATGCCATACTAATGACAGTGGATAAAGTGACAGTGCATCATCAGTCCATATTTGATTATTGCAAGTATCATGTTTCATTTTATTATAATAAAATGAAGCATCATACTTGCAATATGGACTGATGATGCACTGCCACTAATCCACTGTCATTAGTATGGCATGAGAAAAATGATGTGTATAGTATATATACATGTATTTGTAAATAATGTACATGTACATGTATATGAGCGGGTGTTATAGAATATTTATTGGCCTCGCCCAGCTTTGCGTAGGCGAGGACTAGGTACTCGGTTTGTCTGTCTGTGTTTCATTATTACATGTAGTGTACAGTACATGTATGTGGTGGGTACCTGCCTACCATATTGCCTAACATCCTGTGATTCTACCATGATCCATTACCAGTCTGCTCTCACTATAATATCCTTATTGATTTACGTACATTCAATTGTACTATCATCATAAT